GTTTTGCACATGCATATACATAACATGCATAAGTTAACTTACTAGGCTACCGCTCACTTAGTTTCTTGTGATATAGATAATTGAGGTACTATGGCTTACTTCTTCGTCGAGCTAATTTTCGAGGGGTGCACTAAACGTATATACCTTGGTTTAGGTTTCAGCTTCTAGGTTGATTTGTCGTATGTTGTCCTCGTTTCTAGTATTAGTTATCGTCCTGTATGTACTAGGATTAGCTAGTTTGTTTTATGCTATAGTAAAAGCAATAAACAAGTAAATGGAGTAATTCTAAAGTAATGTGTTAGTCAATAAGCCAATTTTGTAGTAGTTGGCAATAAACCGATTTTATATGTAAATAGTAGTTTGTATGTAACCCAAATACCAATAGTCAAGTGGTAGTGTACTCATAGTTAGTGTACTTACTTTTAGCCATTCATCATATATTAGTACCTCGAATAGTAAAATAATGTAATTAATTATACGATAATTAAAGTAAATGGTAATTAAAGAAAAAGATAAGCAATTGAATAATAATAATGAGTCATAACCGAATATATTTACATAAATTAATAGGAAACAAATTTAGGACAACCGATTGTCACGAATCTAGTTATTCCAATCCGAGGAGCGTAATTAAAATTCTAAGATGCGAAAAATTTGTAATGCCTTTTAGTTAAAGTGTGGGACCCATTTTGTCAATTTTAGATATTTATAGCATAAGTTACACTTTAAGCATTACAAATTAAGTCACGCTATCTTGTTAGCTTGCATTCATTGCACCTCAAATATAGGTTAATGACGATAATATTCTCAACCTTTTAGGTTCTAGGTTGGGGATGTTACACAATTAGCCTTTTTTCTTCTTTACAAATACATTAAACAAACCGAACTTGAAGTTCACGCTTTAGATAGCATATGCACCGTAAGCATTATAAAGAGAGGACAACCGTCATAACCAAAATTTTCTCCCTAAATTTTTATCTTTTTTTATTTTTATTAGATTTTTTATTACCTTATTTCTTTATTTGTTTGTTTGCTTTATTTTTTTGCATTTGCATTTCATTTTGGAAGTAACTACCAAAAAAAAAAAAAGACAAAAAAAAGAAAAATACAAAAAAAATTATATTAGAAGGCATAATTGAATCAAACAAAATTGAAATTGAGGCAATTGGAAACTTTAAGATTGAAATTAACAAATTAAAAGACCTAATTAAAAAAATCAAAAGTACAAAGACCATAATGATACATCTAAATGATACAATCAAAACAAAACTTAACCTACAAGACCTAAATCAACATAAGACATATATAATAGAACCAATTCGGATAATCCAGATGACTCGTCATCTATGTTCCTCCTTTAGCGTAATTCTAGCATGTTGATCCTATACTCTACCACCTTTGGGCTTTATTCATTTTCGTCAATAAAGATAATAGGCCGGAAGAGACAATAATGCCTACTCCCTCCTTGTATTGTAATTCTTGTTACGAAATTACGAGTGTACCGACTAAGAATCTCGCCTACACCACCTTCAATACCCGCTCATAAAGTACACATAAACACATTACACAATACCAAGCATAACTTTTGGCTTTGTTCATATAGAGTCAAACATATAACATTCATGAAACTTTTTTGGTTATGAGGGAGATAGGAATTGATCCTAGAGGTGAGAAGGGCCTTTTGGGTATAAATAGAAGTCTAATTAGGATTTTTTAGTAGGAGAATTATGAGAAAGCAAAGGAAGAATTGTGAAAAAACAGTTGAGAGGTAATTTTAAGGGATTGAGTCATTATAGGAAGGGAGAGTTGAGGGAAAACATGAGAGAGAGTAGAGAATTGGGAAAATCCCAAAACTAATTAAAAGAAAAAACAATAATTAAAAGTAATTCGGAGAGAGTGAAGTAGAAACAAACCACAACAAGGCTTAGGAGTTTGAGGCCCTTACCCATCGGCTTTGATAGCTTCGGGTTATGAAAGAGTCCCGGTTTCACCAGTTGAAGCAGATGACCGTTTATTGTCGTTTGCTCCTCCCCGCCTAGGCACCCGATATCAACTCCCTAGTACATTTTCTTGCCCACCGAAGTCACCATCGTCACTCGTCATTACATATCCTCACTTAGACTTTTTTAAGCAAGACACTTAGGTCTTCCCTCTAAATTATTGTCCTTATTTGTATCAATGTGAACTAGTTCTAGATGAACGATGGTAGTGATGCTCATCACTTCCATCCCATGAAGCCCTAAGCCCTCTTAATTTCACAAACCATTAGACTAGTTTTTTTTTTTTACTAGTAGGGTTTAGATGATTCATGAGGATTAGATTTAGGGCACCTATTTGCTTTTGTGTTTAGCTTTCAAGATTAGGGTTGGGTCAGCGAGAGAAGAAGGATGACTCGAGAATCGAATTAGCGAGACTAGAGAGAATAAGGGATTTAGGGCTACAAAGAGATTCAATTATGGGTATTTAGGGTTCGATTTTGGGATTTAATTAACGATCGAGGCTAGGTAGAAACTAGAGTTAGATCTATTCTATGATTTTAGGTAAGAACATGATGGATCAAGTGGGATCTATGAGATGAAGAGTTTATGGTATTGAGATCATTCAATCTTGAGAGGATTAAGGGAGTCTAGGTAAGTGAAAGACGAGAGAAAAAGAAAATGGTAAAGGGCTAGGGATTCAATTTTGACAAAAGGCCGGTAGGTAAGTTTTTGGGTTTAAAGGAGAAGAAAGGAGTTTGAGCGATCCGGTAGAGGAGGAAGTTGGAGAGAAAGATGGAAGAAGTCGAAGAACTGGGTTGCAGGAGGTAGAATGGGTATGGAAACTAAAGAAAGAAGACGAGAGGGAGAAAGAAGATGTGAGAGAGAGAGAGAGAGAGAGAGATGAGTATTAGGTGTTTGATCGAATTGATTTTAGGAGAAATGAAAAAACGTGTTAGAGGATAAGGGTTTAGGCTATGCCAAAAAACGAAAGGCCGAGCTTGGCTAAGTCGAGCCTATACGGCTATGGGTTAGGCCTAGGCCTAAAAAAGGAGAAAAAAGTAAAAGAAAAGAGAATTAATAATAGGTCCACTCTAGTGGGTCCGGCCCAATGGGTCAAGGGTCAATTGAACTAAAAAAGCCTAATACCCTTATTTTTACCCTTATTTCCTAAATTAACCTTGCAATCTTTTATGTATGCATTTTTTATGCTTAATTTAGATTTAATATTGAATTTTAAGATTTATTTAAAAAATTAAGTTCGGTAATTAGTAGGTGAACGAATCATCAAGTTTCCTAATAGTTAGGGACCGAGGATGATCCTCCACCAATAAAAAATAAAAAAGAAAATGCTAGAAAAAAATATTAAAAAAAAGAAAAAATGCTATCGAAAAGATAAAAGAAAAAAAAAGAAGAAATGTTAGGAAAAAGATAAGAGAAAAAATGCTATAAAAAAAAGAAAAAGAAAAAAAGAAATGCTAGGAAAAAGATAAGAGAAAAAATGCTATAAAAAAGAAAAGAAAAAAGAAATTGTAGGAAAAGAAAGAAAAAGGAAAAATATAAAAAAATACTAGGTGAGAAATTAACAAAGTCTTCTATCTAATAGGAATCGATGTTAGCCCAAAACAATCATATTTATTAATTAGGTTATTCTATGACATAACGATTATGTCAAGACTTAAAATATATCCAATGTTGAATTGATGAGACGTCCGAAGGAGGAATCGACAATTGGTTCAACATGATGCCACAAACAAAAATAAAAAAATTAATTTTGCTTAGAAAATAATACTTGGAAATTGACTTAGAAATAGTTTGCAAAAATAGAACTTTTAGGAGATAATTTTTAGAATTAAACCAAACATAGTACATTTCCTTGAAAATGATGCTTTTGGATGATTGATATCTCTTCGAAGACATAATCAACTCCTTACTCAATAATCTTTGAATAAGTATCCATTTTAGGTTCATGGTTTCTTTAATGCTAGGTGGCGACTTTGAAATTAATAAATAACTCACAATCTTAAAAATAATTTTTAACAAATAAATCATAAACGTTAATTTTTTAGAGTATTGCAAACGTCGAGTAGCGACAATGGTTAATTTGATATTATTTTTTATTCCATAAAATGTATCCTTTTCTCATCAATCTTTTCATATTGTTTTTTTTTTTGTTTCTTAAAACAAAAATCAAAATAAATTAAAAAAGCAAAAATAAAAAATAAATGAGAAATAGATTTAAAAATACGAGGACTAAATGATTAGTTTTTTAAAAAATGAGAATGACTAATTAATTTGTTTCCGGAAACAAGAGAGATTAATTTATAATTTACTTGGCAACATTACAATGCATTATCCAAAATCAATATTAAAAACGTTAAAGGAAAGAAACAAAAGCTAAATGGTCCAAACTTTCTTTGAATTTTAAGTTATTTGAGTTCAACTTCTAATTTCATTTCTTACCTTTCTCCAATTATTTTTCTCGCTGTTATATTTTCATCAATTTTAATTATGAAAATACACGTAACTTTTTAAATTTTTTTAACAATTAAAAATATATTAAAAATTATGAATACTTTGTTTTCTTTCCTTCAAAATTTGTTTTTTCTTTCTAAATTATTTTTTAATTGCATACTTCTTATCATTTAGGATGGAATAAACAAGTTTTAGAGTGGAAAAACAAAATATTTATAAGTTTTAACATTTTTTAACTATTAGCGAATAACACTTATATGTAAGAGTTGATGAAATATATATATATTTTTTAAAGAAAGACTGATTCTCATATGATTTAAAAGTTAAAAAGAGCTTTGGACCATTTTGCCATTAAAAAAAAAAAAAACCGAATTAGATGACATGTCGTCCATAATGCATAGGCGAGGACCGAGGAAGATAGGAATCATGGGTTCGGTTTTGTTCCTTGGACCTCAAAAGTCTGGACCCAACTCTTGAACTCTCCGGTTCGGCATTATCTGTCGACTAGACCCATGAACCTGATCCATGTCAATATAAGGAGGCAGCGGGATGCGTTATACAGAAAACGACATACCACACAGGGAGAGATTGCTATCTGCAAAGATGGGTTTCAGCTGTTCATCCAAAGCGACTGCCATTTTCGGTTTGCTGGCACTGTCCACACTGGGTAATTATAATTATCTGTTAGAATTTTTTTTAGATCTATTTTTCTTGTTTTCATCTCTGATCTCTAATTATCACTTTCTTCTCTCGCAGTTTCAGCAAAGAAATCCGCCGATGTCACAGAATTGCAGATCGGTGTGAAGGTAATCAATCATCATCTTTCTGACTAATAGTACTTTTTTCTTTTTCTTTTCTTTTTTTTTTTTTCTGTTGCTTACTGTCTCTATTCTTTTATGTTTTCAGTTCAAGCCCGAAAGTTGTGAAGTTCAGGCTCACAAGGGGGATACAATCAAAGTACACTATCGCGTAAGTCAGTCAGATCGCAGCTTCTGTTTACTTTTGTTGTTTCTTCTTTCTATCTATGATCTGGAAATTGGAATTGCCTTTGTTTATGGCTGTCTACATTTTTTTGGAGCTTAGGTCCCACTATACCTTTCCTATGAGCTGCAAAGTGTGTGCTTGTTGTGCCCTTTTAAATGCAGATTTTTCCTTGTTTTTGTATTTCACTGGGATGTTATCCAACACTATCAGAGTCTCTAAGTGTATAGGATAGGCACCTGTTAATTGGACATCTAGACAAGCTTTTTCCCATCTTAGAGAAACGCAGGCATGTAAAAGAAAAATCTAATAGTTCCTGTGACTTATGGTGTCCTAAAGTAATTGATCAAGCCTTAGCGTGTAGGATTGGCAATTGTTGGTTCTGTTTCTTTTTCTTTTTCTTTCCTTTCTTGTCTCCTCCTTTGAATTCTGTTTCTGAATTCTACCTTCGGTTCTTTTACTGATATCATGAGTTGTTGTCTTCACAGGGAAAACTCACCGATGGAACTGTTTTCGACTCCAGCTTTGAAAGGGGTGATCCTATTTCATTTGAGCTTGGCAGTGGTCAAGTTATCAAAGGTGTGCCCTGCATTAACAATCATTTCTTTCATTAACCTTTAGTTTCTTTATTCATATATATATGATGATTTGCAAGGAGATTATTTAGTCCATGGCATAATCCATTCACTGCAGGATGGGACCAAGGACTACTGGGAGCATGTGTAGGTGAGAAGCGAAAGTTGAAAATACCTGCAAAACTTGGTTATGGGGAGCAAGGATCCCCTCCTACAATTCCAGGTAATATATTATTTCCTAATCTCTTATTGAAACCTTTCGTGCAGTTTTCATTATTGAGATGCTGAGGTATCTTTGCCAAGTTCGTGAGTAGATGACTTTTCATGACTGGGATAGTATATATTATTTCTGAGATTATGTGTTTGTTTCTATTTGATAAAACTATCATATCATATTCTATATCCATTTATTGAACTTTACCTCTATAAGATAGCCGAGAGCTGGTTAACTCATTATAGAATTCTTGGATGTTGCATTCATGCAAGAATTGAGGAAGAGGAGTTTGAATTTCTCAATCTGGATGGTTGAGAATATGATCTCCACCAGACATACGTAATGCCTTAGTTAGCACATGAAAGGGTATACCATGATTTTTCTGTCTATCAATAACTGCATGCTTTGCGTGATGGATGTGAAGAAGTAAACCATTACTTTGGCAAATAATGAGCCAAACTAGTATTTATGGTGAATCCTCCGGGAAGTAGTAATGCATTACGATAAGAGCTCCTAATTCTCTGGCAAATACAGCCCTTTTGATCATTTCTTTGGAAGTACTTGCAGTAGCGTTTAAATAATGCCCTTTGAATTCACTGGTTTCAGCCTGTGCTGTATAAAGTATTTCAGCACAAACTAATAATTGATCTCTCCTACGCATAAATGGTTGGGAGGCCACGCTCTAATCATCTTTGGTAAAATCAAGTCTACACGATGTTTGTCCTATATGTTTACTTCAAAATCAGTTGTATTAGATGAAGTCTTTTAGATAAATGATTATATTTCAGGTCGTTGTTCATGTTGTTTATCTCTAGCTACTTGGAAATGTGTAATATGTGGTGGTTCTTTGAACATTTCAGGTGGAGCAACACTAATATTTGACACTGAGCTTGTTGAAGTGAATGGGAAAACATCAAGTGGAGGGAAAGCTAGTGATAGTGAGCTTTAGTCAAGTATTCAGTGCAAATGGTTCTTCTTGTCGTTCTCACTTGTCACAGGTTTTTCCAAGTAGCTTTCATTCTCACTTGTCATAGGTTTTTCGAAGTAGCTTTTGTGGCCAGCAAAAAAAAAAAACATTAGAATGGATTCTAGTCGAACCGTATCACATTGAGATAATTTGCTGTCCGCATTTATTGTGGTTTTATTTTATCAGGCTTAACCTATCATTTTATCGTTATATATGTCTCAAATATTCAAAATTGCCATATGTCAATATTTTGTTCAATAACACTGTATTTGTAAAATTGGTTAAAAACTAAAATCTTTTGATCAAATCATTCGAATCCATATGACAATACAAGAATCCTTTTGTTTTTATGAATCATTGAGTCATATAACTTAGTTCACGTAACATCTCACATCTAGTATGCAGATCTAATTTTTGTCATGTCATTAGAAGAATCAGCTAGCTGGTGCATCTTGTAACAATGATGATGGAACATTTTCTGGTTTGATTAAGCCTAGCAGCTACTTTCTTCAGTAAGTAAATTACCAATCCTAGAAGAAAATTATGTCATGTATGCTAGTCATAAGATTAGCTAGGGAGTTTGTAGCTTGAGCCTGTTGCTTTTCCGGTTCTTTGAGGTTGCTTTGGAGCCCGGCCTTGTTGATATTATTCATTTTCACCATGAATATGGTGAATTCATGGTGAAAATGAATTGATATCAGCATGACCGTGGTCGACATAGAGATCCTTTTATGTCTGGGTTTGATATATGGTTGAATATTATTATGTTTGAATATTATTATTTATTTGTAATGGCAGTTTTATGCCCAAATATTATCTAATGTGATAATAATAATGATAATATATAATAATAATTTGTGATAATTGTATTATTAGTACATCAGCTTTCAATCTTTTTACAATTAAGTACATGAATTTTAATTTTTTTTCATTTCAATATATTAATTTTTCAAAACTATTAATTGAGTACCATTGTTGATTTTTTTGTTAATTAATAACGTGTTTGTTATTTTTAAAATATCAAATTATAAATTTTTTTTCTTAATGGAGTATATATATTGTTTGACTATATTAATTTTTTCAAAACTACCAATAAAGTATTTTCGTTATTTTTTTTTTAACCGATGATGCGTTTGAATATCAGATTATAGTTCATTTCTTTTTTATTGTAAGGGACTTTCCTCTTAAATTAATCTACCATTTTAAGATTTAATAAATAATTAAAAATATTATTTTTAGTTATAAAATTTCGAACTAAATTCAGTTAGACTTCTTGTTAAAAAAAAAAATCAATTAAATTTAGGACATGAAAGTTGAAGAAAACACAAATGTGAGATCTTCTTCTTTTTTTTTTTCCTTTTTTTTTTTTTTTGTAAATCAAAAGATGCATTTTTTAACATCAATCTAACTGAGTTTAGCTTGAGATTTTATAGCCAAAAAATAAAATTTTTTAATTATTTGTGAAATTTTGAAAGTATTTTGAGGATAACAAATACCTCTTCATTTAACGGAAGTATTTAATTGATGGCTGTGAAAAATTAGTATATTCAAACGAAAAGAATTAAAATTTATGTATCTAATTGAGAAAAAGTTAAAAATGAGTCTACTCATAATAACATGCGTGTCTTATCTGGTTGCCTTTAATTTAAGATTTATGTGATTTTTCAATTTCATTCAAAACCTTTGTTTGTTTAGTTTAAGGCAAACTTCATAATGTAAGTTGGGTATCATTCAATGGACCACATGAACACATGAAGTCAGACAACTCCAATCTCTTTACAAAAATAACAAAATTCAACAATATGTTGAAACAAGAAATCTTTCACAACAAGAAACCATAGTTTTATAAATAACAAATTAGGATTCTTCATCATCTATATTTATAACTTTCAATGAAAAACAAAAAAATTAAATTTAAGAGGAAAACTTTCCTTCTCTACTTGCTATTTGTTCTGCTATTTTGAAATTCAAAATCGTTTATTTGTTAATATGATCGAAAGTTGTGATCCTCTTTTTTTTTTTTTTTTTTTGATTGAATCTCAATTTAGAAGTTTTTGAAAAACTACTGGCTAAATTAAAAGAAACCACACAGAAGAGTCTTACATGTGCTTCTTATCTGTGATTTGTTAGTAAACCACACATGAGGGGCACACATTTCATTTCATTTTCCTGGGATTGTAGTTCAATTGATCAGATCATTGTCCTGTTAAGACGGAAGCTACAAGTTCGAGTCTTGTTAATCCGGACAAATCCAATACCCAATAACTCAATAAAAAACTACATCAACTCATCTCTACATTTTCGATAAAAAGAGTACAAATGGCAAAATTTCATTCCTAAAGAGAATCCTTTTGATTATTTTATATTTATTATATATATATATATTTTTTATCAAAGCAAATACTAGTATGGTACTTTTTATTTCTTTAACTAGTATCAATGGAAATAGATAAAGACACATGTGGGTTGGTATAATTATGGGTGGCATTATATTTAGGATTCCAAGAGATATCGTACTAAATTTGGCCTTTTCAATTACCCTGGATTTGTATAATGAAATTGAATTGAGTATCTTTTTTTTTTTTTTGACAACCCTTACACAAATTGAATTATTATTTATATGATAAAAAAGCGAATTTAATTTATTTGATATAATCATTTTAATAGAAAAAGTATTTTATTTTTTACTACAATTTTGTCTAACCTCATTTACTAGTTTGATTTCAAACAATCTGTCTCATTCAAATTATATACCATTCAAATTATATACCGAAGTTTTGATATATTATATAGATTTCATTTCTAATCCAAGTAAAGAGTATATTAATAAAATAAAAATCAAATTAGAATTTTATCAAGAAAGAATAATCCTTTTTAAAGATTTATGCTGAAGGAAAAACAAATTTTTTAAAAAATAAATTTGGTAGAATATTCAATTTTTTTTATACACTTTTGTAGGACTCGTCTTTATAACTTTTTTTTTTTTTTTCAATTCAATAAGATTAAATCATATGTATATATATAAAAGAGTTTAGAACATATCTTCCTCTTCCTTATTTTGTTTTGGGTTTGTTTTGTATTGTCACGACCTCCGAAGTAGACTATGATCGGCGCAAGAATTGAAGGAGTTGTGAAGCTCACCTCCACTCAAGCAAATTTCGGATATCTAAATCATAATTATTAGACATGTATTAATCAAATTATCCATCCGATTCATAATGTCACAACCTAATTTGTCAATACTTCCTAAAATTCAACGCAAACTATATTTTCATAATACTTGTATATATCCAAAATAATAATTATAATCAACAACCTAATATAACTTTTACAAATATAAATGCATAACAATATAAAAATATAAGTTCAAAACATTAAAATTAAATGAGCCGCATGATAAATGTGTAGGCTTTAAGATAAACAATTTTGAGGAGTCACCAAACAATCTCACAAATCCTGCAAAGCTGAAATGATGGGATGTGAAGAAATCAATAGTATAATGAATAGATAACATATAATATAACTAAGGAAGAAAAACATATAAATGTACTATAATTTTTAATTTTGCTCAAAATGAAATATATGTTTGTTAAAGTCAAATATATACTTATCTTAAATATCAAACAATAGCTCATATTTTCAAATTGTTTAAATTCATAATCACAATTTCATATTGAAGTATATATAATCAAATCAAATCATATCAAGTATCGAAAATGTACATAGGGTGATCGAGTCATATCATATCATTGGATACGAATATCCAAATGCTACGTCCTTCGTAGTTAGGTATATCGCATGAGCACTTTAGTATCGTAAAGCTCACAGCCTACGCCCTCCGTAATTCTAAATAGTCACTCGACAATTATAACTCAAATTCATTCGACAATCTTTCTCTAACAACCCAATTTATACTTTATTACAATCAATTATCCATTATCAATTTCTAATTCAATTTTTATATAACTTGTCTCTACAATCTACCATTAATTTTGAATTCAATTTTTTTCCGCAACTTACTTCTACAATTCATCATCTAAACCAGCTTGGAGGTTTCTCAAACCCACAATCCAATAATTAATTTAACACCACCATTACCTTATTTCAAGCATCAAGTAACATAAATAAATGTTTAATCATCAAACCTTCAAATTTAATTCAAACCCTAACCCTAACGTAACTCATTTTTATTCCAACAACAAATCCAACACAAAACAACTCTAAAATTATCAACAAACTCATATAAACATTTTAATTTTAAGACCAAATAATAAAATCTCACATTTGACAAATATTTTTTCAAACTCCAATTTTAACCTTCAATCCAAACCTCTCAAAATTTAATATAGCTAAATATCACTTTGATCATTTTTTTTATGGTTTTTTTAATGTTAATTGGGCAATGTTTTAGTTTTGCACCAAAATGGAGAGAATTAGAGAGTAGAGAGAATTTTTGGGTGAGGAAAGAAGGAAAAGAAATGAAGGACAACATGAGGCTGTCCCGTTTTTTAACAAGGCTACCTAGGTTTTTTTTAAAAAATTCTTATTCTTATTATTTTCTTCTTTTTTATAGGACTGGCTACTAAACTTTTTTTTTTTTTTTTATAACAAAAATTCAGATTTTTAATTTATACTAAATATAATTTTCTTCTAACTAACTTATAACTATTTTTTTAAATTCCAAAAATTTATAATTTGCTAATTTAATCTTATTTTTAGGGCTGGTTATTACAAAATCTATGCATGTTTAAAGACTATTAGATGATAATTAATCACACGATTGTATAAAAATAGTTTTATAGAAAGGAATAATGGAAAAAGAAATGATAAATAAAGTAACAAAAAATTAAAGTACATAAAATTAAGACTTTATGTTCTCGTCCGTTGACGGCCTAAAAAGGTTCTCAGCCTATGGTACATTCTCCGGTCGATGCCGAGTAAAATTTAACCTCAAAGAATGGCTTTTCAGAATTGAGCTTCTAGAGGTTCAAAAGTATATAAGAGGCAAAATGTGAAGGTGACGGACGTAACATAAAATTATTGGGCGTGCTTCTCACTGCTTGAAATGCCAATGCCATTAGTGACACCATAAATTTTATAATACTTAAAAAGTTATTAATATAAATTATCCTATAAAAAGAGATAAACATAAATAAAAAAAATAAAAGAGAAAATTTAAAAAAAAAATTATATCAACATGAAAACCGTCTTTATCATTTTTTTTTCATATATCTATCTCTTTTTTTTAAAATAAACCCATAGAATACTTACTATACATGTCTACTAATTATTCTTTACATATTTTTGGAATAAGTGGCAGAGGTTTAAGAGGGAGAATGATTATTTATTTTTAACTATTTTGGACAAAATAAGATATTACTTGAAATTAATTGTGGCCACGAATATCAAGCAGGGATGTTCTGGTGCCTTTCAAAGAAAGTTTCCTTTATCGGCGGCGTTATTCAACCGAAACAAGTACACTAGAGGCCAGATCAGTACACACCAGAGAAGAGAAGCGGCAAACTGAAAATGCACAATACCAAACATTTTACTAGAGCCCTCCCAAAGCAGACATGGCAAATTAAACTTTGACATAATTAAATTTCACCAACAGGTAATATGTTCGGAGTTTATATTACGTGTAAACAATCAATGAAGTAACAAACGCTAAAAAGAATGATAACGATATATAATGTGACAATCTAATGATGCCTTCATCAAACTTGGTATGCAAGAGCACTAATTTTGAAGGGTCCCCCTCAGTTCACCTCCACCACTCTGGGAAGACTTCCAAAAAGCTCCAGCATTGGGGTGACAACCAAATGATACAATGGTCCTTTACCCAATAAGTGAATAAAATAGGGTACAAACCTTGGACCAGAACAGATGAATAAATTGCTTCGATACCGAAACAAACTCAGTGGTTCTGAACAATAAGGTATTTGCACTTCCTGTGATGGACATTAGGTGTGATTTAATGCAATTACATCACAGGCTATCTTGTGAGAGAGTCATCAATATTGTATGCCACCATATTATGGTTAGCTCACCTGTTCTCCAATCAAATCAAGACCAACAACCAAAAAACTGATGCCTTGAAATAATAGGAAGTAGAAGTGAATTCCTTGGGCAGATAGCAAGCTTCTCACTGAGGCAGTTAACAGTATCAATGCTAGAGCAAGTTCCTTCTGATACAAACGGTTTCTTTTTGTTTTCCCAGTTTTCTTGGTTGTTTCTATCTTGTTCAGCTCATCCAGGCCTGATTCTGAGGAAGATCTGTGGAGATTGGTAGTTTCCACCAAAGGGTCAGATTCCTTTTCAGCAAATGCAACTAAGTCTGCCTCCGATGATCTTCCTAATTTCTTTGTAACTACCCATTCATAAGAACTTCCTAATTGAAACAATCCTGATATCATGGCATTGAATTTGGTCACGGACATGGTGTTCTCAAACAAAAGGTATGGGACTATGAATGGGAATGACCGTGGTGCTGGGAGAATATTCAAGATAGACATGATTCCAGGGACATAACAAACAACCCAAGCTGGTAGCTGTGCTTCTGGCAGGAACATGGTAAGTGGGAGAATGATGCAGAAGAGAGTGAATGAGTAAAAAGGCAGGATAAGCTTCCTCAGTAAGAAGAAAAGAAATATCAAATTTGCTTTCTTGCCAAAAGACACCTGTAATTAGAAAGGAAGTATTTTAGGTTGTTAATACTGCATATGGTTAAAAAAAATCACTTCCAAGATTAAACACCCAAAAATAATGACATTGCAATGATCATTCACTACAAAAAAGAAAAAAATACTCCTTCAGTAGATATATTTTGCTGTTTCTCATTTCTACTTCACTGGGATGACAAACCTAGATAGTTGAATATTTCTGAATTTGTCTCTTAAGATTGAGAAAAAGATTTAGTATCTCAATGTAGTAAAGAAATAAGCTACAAATTCTCTGGTCCATATAAAAATCCTAGTTTTGTAAGTCCAATCTTCCTCTCCACAATCTTGAAGTTGCAGGACCAGGACTAATTTGTCTAATTTTAGGAGTCTATATTTTGCTAAGTTCCCAAATGAAGTCGAGAGCATACATAAAATAGCATAAAGCACATGCATTATGGCCTACAAAAAGGTTACAGAGGTTTGATGCATAGATTCTCTCCCAGTTAAATACCACCAACTTGGGAATTTTTTCCAATAAAAAGAAGATTTTATCAAGAGAGGAAAAGAACATGCACCAGAATGAAGGACATTGAGACATCCTCCCCAAGAAAAAAACCACAGAATAAGCATAACAAACTAAAAATACAATGCTCTCTCTATATCTGCTAAAGAGGCACCATTAAAGGTACCAATAGCAAGTAGTGGATCCAGATATATTTTTAAGTGGGGTTATTTAATAGCTCCCAAAAATAGTGTTAAAAAGTAGATTTATGTAAATATTCTAATAATATTTTTTTAAAAAAAAAATTGTAGACTACATTAATTGAAAAACTAAATAAATATATTAAAAGAATTTAGTTTACAAATAATTTATTTTCATAACTTTCAAAAATATGAAAAAATGTAGATATAAAACCAATGAATCAATAACTACTTAACATCCTCAATTAGAAATATACCTTCATATCATAAAATTTTCAAACAATTAAGAATTTGAAATAATTAAATATGATTTAGTTTTTTGAAAGATTATGTATTGAAGTGTGGGGATTGGAGAAGAAACAATTAAGAATTATTACACTATTTCTTATAACTTTTCCATCATGTTAAAAAATATTGTAATTCTTCCATACAAATAATCTTAGGATTTTATGATAGAAATATGTGTTGTGTAGAATTTAATAGCAGATATTCTAAATTGTCTACTACAAATATACATCCCTATTTTCTCTCAACCATTTACTATATTAACTACGTTTATTCCTAGCATAAAATGCTGTCAAATTATTATTTTTCTTTTCTTCTTTACCTGTACAAGGTAATTAAAAATTTGGCCCTCTTCCTGTAACTGTTTTTTACTTTCTGTATTATTTAGCGAGATCGAATTAGAAAAACACCCACATAATTTAATATCCAACATATATTATTACCATTTTTTGAAAATTGACTGAGGTCAACTGACCCCACTATTTATACTGTAGATCTGCCATGCCAATAGCTGACCACCAAAGGACGCTAAGAGCACTAACATGGTTTTTGTTTTAGGTAGAAAAACCTCTAGACTAACTCATGGAGCAAAAGTCAATTAGAGCATGAAGAGACATGAAGGTCAATGAGGTTCATTTGAACACGAATTTTCTTAAATTTATCAAGATATTTAGACATGAATGACATGCTCAACAGCCTGCCACCATAAGTAGCTTGATTGACTGCTCTAAGGTTAGTATCTGTGGTTCTGCATCCACTAGGGAATGATGTCATAATGGTCTCTAGTCCACTTTCTCATGATGTGTTTAAGAGTGTTTAAACTCCAAGCTAAAATATATAAAAAGAATTACATGCATAAATAACTGTGCAGGAAGTCGAACAATGAATGTTTTATTCACAGTATCTTCCAAACCTAGTCCAGCCCTAATTACTACTCAATTCTTTTCCTATTAAGTTTTCCATGTCAAGATAATTATTTTTGCCTATTTTATGTTTGTCAGAAGCATAACAGAGCCTGTTTTGCTGCTTGGAAGAGTAACTTCTGTATGACCAGAAATAACATTCAACATCTTTCTTGATTTTAAAGCATAAAAGGCATCTTTTCTAGGGGAAAAAAAAAAAAAGGACTTCAATATCTATCAAATATAAATGACAGCATGAGGAAGAAAAAAACTTCACTACCTTTGCACGGAGTATGTCAACAAAGCACAAGCGGAACAACTGCATTGGACCTGAATGCCAGCGATGTTGCTGTTTTTTGTATGCCTCATAGGACTCTGGAAGTTCACAAAGGCACTGCAAAAAGATAAAATAATTTAATTAAATTGATTATCCATCTTCAAATGTATAAAGTGACTCTAATAATTTAATGCATGACAAACCTTAACGTCATTCAAATAGATGAACTTCCATCCACAAAGATGAGCACGAACAGCAATATCCATGTCTTCAACTGTTGTCCGTTCCAACCAACCACCACATTCTTCAAGGGCTTTAATCCTCCATACACCAGCAGTCCCATTAAAACCAAAAAAATTGATGAAAACACCATTCACCTGTTGCTCAACCTCAAAGTGGAATGATAAGTTTATGTTTTGCAGTCTTGTAAGCAAGTTCTCATCCTTGTTTACAAATGCCCACCTAGTTTGGACCAATGCTAGGTCATCCTTCCCCTTCAAATTCAGAAATGCAAAGAACAAGACAATGAATTTCTTATCCGAACAAAAAGTAAAGCTAAATTTTCACCAACCCTCTTACTTGCAATCATCAGAGTATGTGTTACTATGAGGAAATGAAATGAAGAATCAGCCAACTTATCATGTATTACTGTTGCAGATATCACATGTATAATTATCCTTAAAAAGTAAAGATAGAGTATCAATGCTCATAATCATGAGGCATAACATTGCATTAAAACTATTTTACATGATCAAGGGAAGGAAACTTTATTTATAAACTGAGGTCTGTAATTTAATAAACAAATCCCTGTTTGGAATACAATAAAAAAATTTGGGATGTGGTATTAAAATACATCTCCTTTTGGCAGATTAAATTAACTAGGGAGAGAAAGGTAGGGAGTTTCCCATGTCAAAGTTAAATTTGTTTGTAACATGCATAGATGTGATTTGAGGTAATTGATCAAATAACGTAACTTTAGAGGGTTGGCAATCAGATTGGCCACATTGTATAAAAACACCATAAACCACCCAATTTGGACCTCTTTTGTCTTCAGTTAGAAAAGGGTTTGAATTGCTTTCTTTTAAGGATTTACTAAATCATTGTAACATCGCAGATCATTCTCTAAACAAAAGCACAGCAGCACCAACTTCACAAGGTCAACACAATCAACCAATTGGAAGGTTCAAGGTGCCTACAGCAAAACTAAATATGTAACTTCATGCCAAGTAGAATAATTGCACATATACCAAATCAAGGATATCAGAAAACTTGAACTGTTCTACAGGTTCCAACAAATTAATCACAACTGAGTCATAAATTCACCTCGAAGTAAGGAATAGTTTTCTTCAAGAAATCAGGCCCAGGCTGAAAATCTGCATCAAATATTGCCACAAACTCATAATCTTTTACATAATCACAGCCCATAGCAGATTTCAGGTTCCCTGCCTTGTAGCCTGTGCGTATGAGACGATGCCTATACAATATACGCACACCCCTTTGTTGCCATTTTTGTACTTCGGCCTTGATAAGGAGCTGAGCATCTAACTCATCAGAATCATCCAAAATCTGTATAAGCATTCTCTCCTTTGGCCAGTCCTGGATACAGCATGCTGCAATAGATTGTTGGTAAACCTGCATGCCAACCATTGATTGTTAGAATTGGTAAGTGTTGGGGGAAAAGAAAAAAAGGCAAACACAATTTTTGTGCAGGAAAACTAAAACAAAATGCTTTCTGTGGAGACAACAAAATCAAACTAAGGCTGTATTTGTTTGGAGGAAAACCAATTCCAGGAACTTGTATTTCCCATTTTCCGAGTGTTTGTTTCACGTTTAGGAAAAAAGTCAACGGAAAATAATAGAGTATTTTTGAAAAAATGTTTTCTCGATTAAAAATGAAGAAAACATTTTCCTTTTCACAAGTTGTCTTGCTTTCGTGTTATTTACTTCTCTCTCGATATATTTTAATATTTTTTTCTCTATCTTCTTTTTATTTAAAATATATCAAATTAATTTTTAATTATTCCTTATCAATTATTGTTAATTATTTAACTATTTTTTTCTTTATTTCTACTAATATTTGATTTCTTAATTTATATATACATTAAATATTCTTAAAAACCATTTTTACACTTTAAAATTATTTTTTTAATAAATATTTCAATAATTTATCTCTATTTTTTTACTATTATCTCAAATACCATCTAAGTTATATTTAAATTATTGAAAATGATTATTATAAAGCTGCAATTTTTTATAAAAAAAAATTTTAATTAATTAATTAATAAATAAATACATAATTTTCCTAACACTATTTATTTGTAATTAAATCAATAATTTATAATTTTAATCAATTGTAAAATTTTGTTGATAATTGTAGTGAATAATTGATTACAAATTATTGCAACATTAATCTTTTGAAACCAAATGAATAATTATCTACAAACGATAACTAATAATTTATAAAGCTATTTTTTAGACTAAATTATCAGTTCAATTTCTAAAAAAAAAATCTTAATTGCGTTATCAAAATAACAATGTTAGGATTATTTAGAAATTTTTTTTTACTAAATGTGAATATTAACTTGATTTTGTCCTCTGTAATTTTGATGAATTAGTTTAATTGTTAAAGAAGTGCATTTTATTTTTTGAATTAAAATTTTAAGAGTCAGTATTTATAAAAATTTATTAAATTTTTCTAAATATAATTTATATTGTGAAATTGTGAATATGCATTTTTAAAGTTTTCTCAAAATTTATTGATGTAATAATTATATACTGTTTTTGTATTTTAATTTTCTGTATCAAACAAATGCTAGAATATATTTTTCAGTAGTTTTTCATGTAATTACCAAACAACAAAAAATATTTTTTGGAAAATAATTTTCAAAAAAATAGCTTATTCAGGAATTGATTTTCCTATGAAAGTTGTTTTCTGCCAAACAAACGCCAAGCCTAAGGTAAAATTGGAGAGATTTTCCAACATAAAGTTTCATTTTTTTCCTCTCTCTAATTAGTTATTTCTCGTTTCTGCTATGCTTGGATATGTATTTTGCAAATAAAGCATAGACAAAACAAGAAAGAAATATACTCTCATCTTATAACCCATCCATTAATTACACAACCTATCATATAAATTACCAAAAAGTAAGCAGAGAAGAAGATAAGGAGAAGAAAAACAGCATTAATTGTCAAGAGATGTTAATCCTGAAGTGCACCCAAGTCAGCATCTTTAAGAGTCAGTCCTATTAAAAGCGTAGCTAGCTCATCTCACAATACTAAAATTCAAATGCCCATTCAAACTAACACAACTTATTGAAAGATGAAAACAGAGGATTGAATATCTGGATTTGAATCTGAATTTCTGAAAGATGAAAAACTAGTTAGGGCTTGTTTTTGAAAGAAAAAAACAGAGGATTAAAGCAAAATCACATCTACAATCCCAAAATCAACTCGCTAACCACTATCCAACACTAATCCTAAAAAGCAGAGCTCCTAGTATCCGTAATAATTGAAACTAAAATACTTGTACTGACAATTACATAACTAATTAACTCACTAAGTAACCAAGTCACTAAACTAAAAAATAAAACATAAAAAGAGAAAAGTTTCGAGGATAAGAAACCTACATCTGCTTACCTCCCTCTCATTGCACATTGGAATCTGCACCAAAACCATCGGATAATCCTTCACATTCTCTCTACCGTCATACTCCACCGCCGCCACTGGCCTCAATTTCCTAAACTTGATCCAGAAACACCCTAACATCAACACAATACGATCTACCGACTGCATTAAAAACAAGATAATACACACATTCGTCAAGCTCTGCAGCGGCGGTGCCAAGTAATTCGCCCTTAAATCCAACCACTTCGCATAGGCCCTTTCGACTGCGGCCTCCGCCGATTCCACCGACGGGGGACTGAAATGCCATCCCTTGAAATACGCAACTAACTCGAAACACAACAACAGAACCACCAGAAATAAAAACAATTTTATGATCCTGTAAAGTCGTGATGAGATGGAGGAATCGGAGGGCGAGTCAGTTTTGCTAGCAGCGATCCTGCGATTGGCTGTTCGGAGGAGGTCGATAGAGCCGTTTGTGAGCCACGCTAGGGAGGAAGCGAGTTGTTGGAATTTGAGGAGCCAGAGCCAGGAAAGCTGGCGGGCACTGCGTGTGTGGCCTTTATCGACGGTCAGATCGGAGGTAGGGCTATGGATCTCGACGGTTAAGAAGGCGGTGTTGTCCGATTTGTCGAGAAACTCGCGTTGCTTGTTCCACCATTCTTGAAACTCGTAATTTTGAGCTCGACTACTCATAGAAGGGTAAATATTCGTTTTTGTTGTTTTTTCTTTTTTTTGGTTGAGAGATCTCACTCAGTCAGCCAGTTATTTTTGTTGGAAAAAATGCGAGTGTGTGTGATTGGGCGGGATGTGTGGGAGTGAAGTGAGCTAGTGTTACTATATGATAGTAGTAGTTTAGACTTTAGAAACGAATGGAAGAGAAGAGGAAGCAGAGGCGGATGCAGAGGAAGAGGCAGGCCATGTGACGTCCCAAATCACAGAGATATAGTATTTATTTAGGGGGCGGCCTCAACTCATGTTTCCTTAATTATTTATGTCCAACGTGAGGAGAAGTAAATTATAAATTAGTTCTTTTATTTTTAAGAAAAAAATTAATCTTTTTATTTTAAAAATTAATTATTTAATCTGCATTTACCATACTTAATTCACTAATATTTTATTTTAAAAATTTTAAATTTCTTATACTTTTTTTATATTTTTCTCTATTTCTTAAAATAAAAAACTTAAAATAAATTAAAAAAGAACAACAAAAATTAAATGTCACGACCCTAAGGGTCATAACTAACATAAGAATTGAGAAAATCATGAGGCCCATTTCGACTCAAGGAAGCCTCGAATACTCATACTATAATCCTCAAATATGTATCATATCAATATCATTTCACTTCATAATAATCTAACATAATATTCATTATTTTATATCTCCAACACAAATCATAATTCAATGTTATTTTTGCATTTATCAAATCAATATCCATAGTTGATTTTTAATACAACACCTACAAACTATAACTGCAGAGCTTCTAAGAATTACAACAAAATCAAACATAAGTTATAAGAGATTACAATTAAATGAGTCATACGATCAACATGCCGACTTCAAGAGAAACGAGTCGAATAAAAGCTAAAATGGACACCCTCACTAATCCCGCAAAACTAAAATAGTGAGAGGTGAGCAATTAATAACTCGGTGAGTAGATTATAACACATCTAAAAGAGAAAAATGGATTATGGATGATAGCTTAAAATTCGAATCAAGATGCCATGTGTATCTCTTCAAAACGAATATATATCATAAAACCAAATTGTACATCATAGCTTAAATGGTTCAAAACCATTTCATATCGAATCATCGAAACGTATGTATATATATATATAATCGAATGAAACCACATATCTAGGTTTTTATTTACTCATGAGGTGAATATAATGTATCATTGGATGCGAACATTTAAAGGTCATGCCCCTTGTAACTAAGCTTTTGTATGTTAACCGACACACGAGTCGCTAGCACTCTACCTCTCCTGTTAGTTGGAGCCTTGTATTATTAAGCTCAAAAGCTACGCCCCCTGTAGCTCTCTAGGGTCTCGAAAACATTTCAAAAATCGTATATACTTGTACATATTTCAAAATCGGTATTTCAAACATAATGCATGCTCAAAATCAAATTGATAGCGTAATCTCATAACAAATAAACGTTGACAATATTATACGGATAATCAAAATAATTTTTTAAAGTAAAATAGCATTTAAATCCATAATCATATGTCAAACATGTACTCAAATGTAATACTCCCAAACCTAGGACATAATAGGTTGAGAACGTTATTGTCATTAACCTACATTTGCTAATCTATAGTCGAAGTGCAATGAATACAAGCTAATAAGGCACTTTGACTTATTCATAATATATCTAGGTATGAATTACACTTGCAAAAGTCTAATAATAGCAATTAGGTCCAACTTGTTTAGTTTAAATTGCACTATTAATTTTTTCACGTTTTATTATTTTATTTAAATTCCTTGAACTGAAATAATCGGATTTGTGACTCTCGGTTTTCTAAAATTATTTTTTTATTACCTCATATAAATTCATTTAGTCATGATTCAATGCTCGATAATTAATTAATTATTTCTTTTCATTAATTATCATTTATTTTAATTGTTGTCTATTTAACTATATTGTCTCATTGCTTTGGAGATGATAGAATGAAAATAAATATCTTAAAGAAAACTATACTAGCTATGATTATACTACCACTTTACTACTGATATTTTGTTTACGTACAATCTACTATTTACATACAAAACTAGTTCAATGTCGACTACTACAAAAATGGCTTATTAACTATCTACATTTCGTTTTTTGCTAGTCGGTCATCTACTCTTTCATTGCTCTAACTATCATATAGAAAAACACAAACATGGCTAAAAAGTAACTAATATACCCAATATTAGGATAGTCAAGGTGTGCGCTAGATCCATCTTCCAACTACATCCAATATACATGCATCGAACGGTACCCTCGGTGGTAAGCTCAACGATGAACATTACCATCCCGTACTCGTATTAGTTATACCACAAGCAAATAGGTGAGCGATAGCTCAATAAGTTAACTAATACATGTAGACAAAAATGCACATATAAATCATTTATATACTTGTACAAAATCCTTTTTCATGATCGATCCGAAAATCTTTTTTTTTTTAATCTTTGGACATGTCCTATCATAGGTACTTTAGGAATTCCACGAGTATGTCTAGCAAACCAAACTCGTCTACGGATGCGTACCCTGTCGAGCCTTTAGAAATGCACATATGCACTCCACTCAATCATGTCCTTTAAACCTTAAACCATTATAAGTACGAAAAACTTATGAAGCCCTCCTCATAAAATCCTCATAGTCATGAAAATCACATTTCTTAAAATATTTTCAATCGCTATTGAAAAATCATGACATAAAACATATTTTTATGACTTTAAAACATCATCTATAAAATTTGACATGCATATGCATTTTATTGAAAATACATAACCATTATTGCTTCATGAAATGCATGCCATAATGAGATGCATTTATGCTATGATATTGCATAATTTAAAAACATAGATGCATTATCAACATCACCATGTTAAAATCATCTCGAGCCATAATAAAAAACCACACTAATACACTCCATAAAGAAACACAAGTCCATCACCATCAACATTGTAACTTACATATAACATAAACATTTCAAACTCAACCACACATTAAATTACACAATTCAACCATAAATCCTAAATTTTCTAACCTAGGCTGAATTATGCTCTAACATAACTTAATCATTTTCTTTTAATTTTTAATAACTATTTCTAGCTTGATTCCATTGAATTAAAACCTAACATCAAGAACTAAATTAATTAAGTGTTAATTGATCAATTTTATGCATAATTTTCAAATTGGGCCTCATTGGGCCTAAACCACTAGCTTTACTAATATAAGCTAATTTTTAGGTTTTAACAAAATTTCTCTTTCTAATTCCTTTCATTATATTATCCTAAGTTCAAAATAGTTAATTGAAGTGTTAAAAACCCAATTAAACCTAAAATTTATAGGACAATTCATGCTTAAACCCTAATTAAGCCTTAATGGACCCTAAGCTAAATTATGAAATTTTCTTCAACTTGTCTTAGAATTTTTCACTTCTATTCATTAAATTATAATTATTCCATTATCAATTGACTAGTAATCCATGAATTAGGTAAAAGAATCAAAATCCTAAAATCTTGGGTTTTAGGCCAAATGCTAACCCCAAGAAATTCATGAAATTCTTTTCAATTTAATTGAAATTTTTTGTTCTTACCCATTAATTCATACCTAATTAAACCATAATCAAACTATAAAACATCAATTACATCAAATGATCAAAAAGCCTTAATTCACTAATTTGGGCCGAATGTTCACCTCTATTTAACCCTAGAAATTTTTAATTTCAAAACCTCATATTTAAGTTCAATTAACATGTTTAAACCTTAATTACATGAATTATTAGCTTAATTTCATTATTCTCAATTTTTCTTCACCAAGAACCCTAACCCTAAGTTATAAAAATTAAAGCTAAAAATCACAAATTAAAGCATTCAAATCATAAATTAACATATTTTAAACATGAGGTGAAGTTAAATTACTTAAATAAGCTCCAATTTAACCTTGGAAAGTTGGATGATTTGAGAAATTTCTTCCCCCTTTTCATCACCAATTCGCCCAAGTCTAATTTTTCCCTCTTAATGAATTTTGATCTTCTAGCTTGATTTACTTGCTTGATTAGTTGATTTAAAGTGTATAGAGGTGATTTAGTTGGATTTTGGGCGGAAATTTCTAAGAAAATTTTGCGAGAGTTTCCTTTGAGTTTAGCTAATTTTCATGCATTTTCATGAATTTCTTGCACCCATATTTATTGTCAAATTTTGGTGGACCTTTGACCTCATCTCTACCCTTGATTTTCCATGATTTGGAGTGATTCGACCATTAAATCAATTTTAAATCCTAGCCCTTCAAATGGAGTAATTTTAGCCATTAACCCTCCTTTTATTCTTAGCCTTCCAACTTGCCTAATTCTAACCTCTCCTTTTCAACCCAATCAAAACTAATTAATTAACCCCTAATCATACAAATAAAAGTCGATTGAAGGGTAGAAAAGCACCCAAAATTTTGCTTAATTTTAGTCTCTCATTTTACTAATCTTTTCTCTAATTACTCCTCCATTCATCCTTCAATTTTTCAATTAATTACTTTAGGCCCTTCCTTTAAAGATATCTTAACAACATTTTAGCTACTAAATTTCATATCTAATTTAATTTTAAAGTTTAAACTTTCAATTTTATGCAATTAGGTCCCTAATTTCTATGTAATTAGGTCCCTAATTCCAAAATTGTATGCTATACTTTTCCAAAATTCAATTTCTCTACATGATAAATTCAAACACTTCCTGAAAGAATTTAATCATGATTCATATAATTTTTATACCTTTATTTAGGCCTCTAAAATAATTGTTTAGTGTAAAAATTACATTATTTTATATGGAAAATATTTCTTATATATAGAAAAATTCATCTAAGCTTATTTAATATTCCTACACATCCTAAATGATTTTTTCATGCCCTTGGAATAATTTTCTTTTATCTTTAAAGCACCTAAATTAATTAATTTACCTCAAAATTAATTAGTATTCATACAAAATAAAATGCAAATA